CTTGATTTTTCCCCATTTTTTACATTAATAATTAATATTTTTGTTACATATAAATATGGGTTTACTAATTTTTATACTGTTATCATAAATTATTTTGTTAGATTAGCTCAAGATTTGGCTTGAGTACTGAATAAATGAATGCATATGCACATATATAATATATTATAGCATCTAACAGAAAATATTAATAAAAAAAATTGTAAGGGGTACTCATATACAGTATACTGAGAACTGTATACATAGTATGAAACAAAAATTAACATATTAAAGTAACATCATTGGTTTTATTTTCATTTTATTTATAACAAAAAAGAAAAAAAAAATCTTTTCTTTTCGAAAAATCACAACTGGTTAGAATAAAATGTTTAAATTTACTGTGGTTGAAAACTAAATTTTACTCAAACAGATAACTATAAATCATGAATCCAGAGACGATAAGATTATTACAGTTGTCTGATTTAATTTGTTTTAGTTTTTTTTTTTTGTATTACGTGTTTTAGTATAGTAAAAACACACAACTTACACGTAATATATATAATAATATTATTAATAATAATAATGATCATAATAATAATAAATCATTTACATTTCTAATACACAAAAGAGTTTACGCAGTGCCGTAATAATCATTTGTGTACTGTACAATTACTTCCAAGACTTGACATGACAAGGTGAGTGAAGCAAGAGGACATTTTACCACAGCATTCTGTGTAACTCCTCAAGGCAATATGATAAGCCAAATTTCATGTTGTGTACATATTTATTGCTACTGTTCTCTATGTACAGACCTGTATATCACGCAATGATAATTATCATAGACATACAGAGGTAATGCTTATCATACAACCTGCTTCATAATGAGAACTTGATGAGGGAGGCAAGACCTTTCCTTTCACAGACGCCACATAAAGATTGTGTAAACACAAGGTAATTATTTGTTGTTTGACTCGGAATTTCATGTCACAAGTGAAAGAGGTATTGATTGAAGGAGCGGTGAATGAGCAAGTAAATGAAGGACAGAGAAAGTAAACACACATACAGTACACACCAGGTTGAACAAACTTTTTTTTTTTTGTGTAGCTGTTTTATAAAATGGGAAACGCCTTGTATACAGTAACCTGAGGTCATCTGACAAAACTTGGAAAACAAATTAGCTACAACACTAGTTTTTTAAAGAATTTTACTTTCCATTAAAAATAGGATTATTTTGATTTGCTTGCTTTTTCTTCTTCAACACAAAATCATTGAAAGTCATTTAAAAAAGGAAACATGTGACTCTAAGAATGCAACCCATAGTGTAGGTCTTTGACCTTGCTGTTCTTAGTGGGTCCATTAAAGAGCTTCCTGTTGAAAAAAGACTCAATGTTCTGTTTTCATATTTGCAAATGAAATTCATGCAAAAGAGTAGCCTTAACATACAGTACAATACTGTATTTTATCACATCAGACCTGTTGAATTCCTAAGTCAGACTGAATGGCCATTATATTAAAAAGGAAGGAAACCTGCTACAATCAAGTAAATGCTTGAGCCCTGTCTTGCTTCCTACTCCTTTGGCCAGTTTGCGTGCAAAATGCAGACCTTTCTGTTATTTAGCTTATATTGTGTGGTACAAATAGGCTATAAAACCAGTAAGCGCACAAGGCTGCTCAGCAACGGTCATCAATATGACAACCTAGATGGAAAGATCAAGTTAATGATCATCTAACTCGATATAAAAACTCTATATATACAGTATACTGGTGAATTGGCAGACACAAATACAGCTGGTATTTGGATTAACTACCCCCTGTGCTAGCAGAAATGCCTCTCACAGGATATTAGCGAAACCAAATATCTAGTAAGTGACATTAAACCTGATTAAGCATCTGCTGTGAACAGAGAAGGGCGAGTGGAGGTAAATGAGGTTTAGTGCTGCTTGTCACTTCTGTTAATCTATTAAAAAAATACATTTAGATAAACTGCTTTCACAAACTTAAATTTGATAATAATGGATGAATGAAGGACAAAACCATAAGCAGTAGATAATTTCCTAATCTGGAATGCAGAGCACATTTAATATTTCACCAGGCAGAAATACGTTACAGAGGATCAAAGTTCACTTTTATGAGCATGGTGGGAAAATGACCCAGAAACCTCTGGCATGAATTTAGGTAAAATTGGTTTTATATTCACACATTCAATCATTTTTGAACAGTGACAACTTGTGTAATGGTCCACATTGTGTTTACCATGCTACTTTGAATATTCGCTCTGAAATCGCACGTCCGTATGACTTTGAACAAAGGTGTACTTTGATAGTTAATTTCCCTATTTAGTATTTGCAAAGAACACTTTTTTTTCTGAAATTATATTATTAAGCAAAAAGTCTTAACATGCGAATATTAAATCTGGCAAGAAGTGTAATTTCAATAAATACTTGTTTTTATTCAGTATACAGAAACGCTTTACAGTGCCCCAGTTACAAATGTACTAATATTAATTATGTATAATTACATGAAATATCCAGTTCTGTGTTTTTTATAAATACTAAATACATAAATTTAAAATTACACTTTAAAACAAAACAAAAAAATCTTACTGAAGATTTAACAAAACACATGGTTATTGTGGTAAAACCATAACCTCTAAACAGTCATGATTTTGCAACAGTTTAACAATGGTAGCCTATTTGTGTGTATACAAATAATAACAATACAAAATAAACAAGCACCAGAAAACAAGCTGTCTACACTTTTACCACAATAAAGTCATGATGGGTGTTAGTGTGGTGTAGCATGATGTATCTCTTTGGTTTATTTATATAAACTATTTAGTCTTGAAGAGAAAAAATATAGTCAGCAAATCATCCTTTTAGGCATATATATAGGCTAAGTAGTGAATAAGTTGCTACAGTACATACCAGTCTGTCATCCATTCGGATTTCATCAAACGTGCACATACTTCCCATTCGATTCATTTTAGCGTTTCTTTATTAAAAGTTAAATAAGTTAAATAAGAGCAGCAAAAGCTGAACGTCCCTCAGCGCGCGCGGAGTGTTTTGTTGTGTTGTCCGATACGCTGAATAATAAATAGGTTCGGTGCAGCTTTCACCGCAGGCTGAACGGTTTTGATAGACACTCCCCTCCCTCTCCTACATCTCCCTCCCTTCCTCGCAGGTTTCACGGGTCGTTGTAACGCGTCATAGCGTGAAATCTGTCGTGTGACTTCATTTCTTCGGCATGTCTTTCCGTTTGTTTCGCCTCAGCCCGCGGGAGACCGCAACATGTTGATGTGTTTCACCTGAGAGACACGATCTCATTCCACTATCCCGAGGTTACGGAAATTAAGCAATACAAATAGGCAGAACGTGTAGAAAGCTAGACAGTTTTTTATTTTTTATTTTTTTAAAGAATAGATGAAAAATGTCAGGCCTACTTCAGGTAAGTCAGAAACAAAAGACAAGTCCACGTACAAGGTTGGAGTACATGTGGTCATTTTAGTTATGTAGTGGATTTTTTTAGTTAAAGCCCTAAACTGTCTGTGATTGTAGAAGGTTAATAGTTAAATATGTATTTTAAACAGGATAGTTTATTATAAAAAGAATATATAGGTGAAGAGGGAAAATGCAATATGAGAGTTATTAAGTAATGGCACGTAGGCTATGTGTGACTTAACATTCATCTCCATTCCATTTGACGTTATGTCATTTATTTTTTTTGTGACAGGCTATAATTAGTGCATGTATTGCACACTGAAAGTACATTTTTAACAACTTTGCATCATTGTGGTCCAAACCAGACACAACTGGTATTAGAGGAGGACTGATTGATAAGCAGTTTTGCAGCATAGTTATTTTTTCTAGATGTTTCTATTGACATTTTTTTTTCAATTAAACAATTTCAAAACAATTTAAAAAATAGAGACAATTTATTCTCGCCCCACTGCAGTATTATACACAATCTTAATCTGTTTATATCATATCATGAAATATACATACATATGTTAGCAAATACAAGTTCCCTTATATATTTACTCATCTATTGTATGTATGTATGTGTGTGTGCTATATATATATATATATATATATATATATATATATATATATATATATATATATATATATATATATATATATATATATATATATAATATGAAAACATAAATAAAAAAAAATTATAAAGGGGAGGGAAGAAAAAAGAGAAAAACAAATAATTAACAGCCAAACTGCAAATGTTTGGATCCATTTGCTCTATATCACCACTGGCTGCCAAATTGAATGTAATTTTTTACTGTGACCTTTGGTGAAGTACTGAAACATCTCCATTGTAAGATGGTACATAAGATCCATAATCCAATGATTAAAAATTGTTAGAAATTTGTCCTTCCATTTTAACTCTTTAAACAAAATAATTGTATATCAAAGATAGGCATGGGCCGGTATTACATTCTGATGGTATGATAACCTTGGATAAAAATATCACGGTTTCACGGTGTTATGATTACTGCTTTAAAATAAATTATTTTTTAATGTCTGGGTAAAAAACTAAAACTTTTTCCTCTTTGAACACAATATACTTTATTTTGAGAAACATTTGAAATATTTTGGAAAAGTAAACATGTCAGGCTAAATAATTGAAACTAATCATTGACTTCTGCTGTCTTCATTAGTTTCAAAACCACCAATTTAAAATTACATCGTTGGATACCTTTTCTGCTGAAGATACTGTTGCCCTAAAAAAATGTAAATTAAAAATCTTACATATACCATAGGAACAGTATAGCAGAAAATGTTGCCAGTTTTAAAACATTGACTTTTCCAAACCGCAGTAATCCCTGAAAACGGTTATCGTCCCATGTCACAGATAATTTAAGTTGATTGAATCTCATTTATAATGTCTCACCTGATATCTTCTGAAGAAATCAACATAGTGAGAGCTTGTACAAATACCATAAATGTAATTATTCAGTCGTGTGCTGGAATGCCGCAAAATGATAGACAAGAACACCAGATGTGTCTGTATAGAGTTTCTCTTTGTTTTTACTTTGTTAGTACACATATTACAAAACATTAGTGGCGAAAAAAACAAACAAATACAAACGTCATTCCACAAAAACGAATGTGTACATATAAAGGCATCACACCCATGTTATCAAGTTTGCTCCTTTAACCGCAATGAAATCTTCTATAAATCAATAAAATGTTGTCATACTTTCAAGTATTAACTCTTCTGGCTTTAGAAAATGACTTTTAAATGTGATCACTGCTAGATTTATAAACAATTTATAAATAAAATAGTAGTTATTTATAGAAATATCACCATTAAATAATAAAAAGGATCTTAGTTTCAAATCCTTAAGCCCAAGCATTTTAATACTGTTAAATTAAACATAAAAAAAAGCTTGATAATCCCCCCAAAACACTTAGTGCAATATAATTGTAACAGAAAAAGGCAACAAAGTTTGTTTATAGCAGTTTCAATTGTGCCCGTAATGCCTCCAAGAAAGAGATGCTCAAACTAGGGCCTGCGGGTCAAAGTTGGCCCTTTATAATATATAGTATCATTTGATTAGGCCCGCCAGAGGGAAAATGATTGGGAAAGGTTGACTAATGACTTTAACAGAAATTCTCATTTCTATTTTAATGTAACCTTTTGTTTATTTGTTTTACTTTTGAGCTACAAAAACACTAACTGAAATGAAATGTTTCAATTACATGTTGTAAATGAATCAGATTTTTTTCAAAAGTTACATAATTTAAATGAGAGAAAAAGTAGAAAACATCCACGTGCAAATCAAGGCAAAGGCAAATTCAGCATGACTAGTGTATTCCACATTGAACTCTATTGTTTTATATATAGATTTTTTTTTTGGTTTTATTGTAATAAGTTTGCTAAAATAATATACAGTTTCAAAAAAATATATAATGCATCAGTAAATACGGTTGAAGTAATTGTTTCTATTTATTTATAAATATTATAATATACATCAGGAAATTACACATGGCAACTTTAATGTAATACAAATGTAATACAGTTGCTATACTTTTGGCCGACAGCTCTCAATCAAGCTTGGATTTTGGCCCTTCATAAGAAAAAGTTTGGGCACCCCTGCTCTAAGGTCTTCTGTCCATGGCTTTAAATTGTATTTAAATGTAAATTGGTTATTTGGTAAATTATACTTAGTAGAAATAATCAGTCTTTCATGAAAAATAGCCTTTGGCATTACTCTGAGAAACCCTACCCTTGATTTTAAAAATAGTTTCAACAATTTGTACATGCCTTATGACAGTTGATATTAAGCAATATTTTTCCACAGATTGGGATGGATCAGTGATACTATACGCAGTATGTGTCAAGGGTGTGGATTTTGACTCCTCTTTATAAAAGACATAAAAGGCTCAGCGGTTAATAGTCTGCTTTTGTATGTCATATAAAGGTGGTTCTAGCAGTGCACCAAAAGATGGTTTCACTTGAATGATGATAATAATATCAACAGGTTAAGAATTAGATAAATAAGCAATGCAAACATGACACTGATGGATAACTTAAAAACCACAATAAGCTTTTCTGGAAGCCCAACCCCCGCCTATTGTGTATTTCCTTTCACATTTAATGCTTTTAACTTTGCTAAACCAGGTGCTACATGAATCTAAAACTTCTGTTTCCAACTGTTTAGTTCTTACATCAGATCTCAGTTATCAGATCATCAGTCTGTGTCATGCTATGACTGTCTCTCACAAAACAAATCACTGCATGACTGGTATAATAAAAATCACTATTTTTACTATTTTAAGTTTGGCTTGAAAGAACTTATGACAACATATTATTAGTTTTACATTACGGCATTAAAAAGAATGAAATCATAACAGCATTACCAAGAGTTATATGCTTATAATAAATTTTCCCTTTTGATAGAAGATGCCTTATAATTGCTAAATTGGGACATACTCGGAGATGTTAATGTCAGAAACATTAAAACAACCATTATTCATTTCTGAATTGATAATCTTCACATTTGGCATATGGTTCATATGCAAGGGCTTCCGATGGTCTGGTGTCAACTGTTTGGAGACAAAAATCAGAATATTATTTTTACACCACCTGTCATTATTGAAAAAAGGGTCACAGTTTATAATAAGGTTTACAGTAATGTGTTACATAAACTAAGTATGAACAATACTTGGGGGGATTTCAGATTCTCAGGCTTCTGTAATTAGGTTCAGTAGTTTAACTTTCATGACATTTAATAAGTTCTTTCCATTTCCCTTAAAATTGAAATATTTTGAAAATTGAATAATTGAATATTGAAATAACTGAACAGAAACATGGAAGACTAAGGAAAAAAATGCAAATTTTTATAAGGAGATTTTAGATGAACTCTTTACTTGTACGGCATTTATTATTGATAGTTCAACATTTACTAATGCTTTATTAAAATCCAAAGTCATGCTTTTTAACATTACTTTTTTACATTGTTAATGCACTGTTAACATGAACTAACAATAAACAACAGGCCTGTAGACAGGGGGTGTTCGGATGGTTCGGAAGACCTACCCCTCAATGACAAAGGTCCAAGATTTGCCCCATATATGAGCTCATCTGTTCTATTTTGACTGCTATGGCATAAAAAATTGTGGAAATAACCCATCAAAGCCTTTAAGACCATGCAGAATCTGGAGTAATCTTTTACTACTGAGCTGCTTTATTGTTGTTAAATGGAGAAAACATTTTACAAGATACATTTATTCTAAATCTTGGACCTTGTTCTTGAAAGAAAAAATGACCAATGTAAAGGTGCAAATCACCAAAAGTGGCTCATATTAAAGTTAATTTTCATACTAATGAGGCTGTTGTTATCCATGAATTTTCACATTTACTTTTTTTACGAAAGGCTAAAAATGATTAAGCTCTATATAATTATTATTATTATTATTATTATTATTATTATTATTATTATTATTATTATTATTATTATTATTAATATTATTATTATTAGTAGTAGTAGTAGTAGTAGTATTAGTATTAGTATTATTAATAATAATGTTTTGTTTGTTTATTATTCAAAAGGCCAAATTCTGACCAAGGAAATTCCTGGCAATTTTGTTATTTCCTTAATGAATGGCTGCAGTTTTTTCTGTTTTAAATTTTGTGTATTTTTTCATATTTCTTAATTTTAAGTCTTAAGGTGATATTTTTGATTCATCAGAAAGTGTGGTTATATGATGATCATCAGACAAGCTAATCCAGCTAAAAAATAGTGCATAAAATGTCTATAAATGTCTATAAAATGCAGTATTTAAACCTCAGATTTAATCAGATTTTTTTATTTGACCCAGAAGCATTAAGCTTTTAGTATAGAAAGCACAATGGGAAAATTCTTACAAAATTTTACGCAATTTATCTTAGTTTAACGGTTAATTTGTTTTAATTTGACACTGTACACTGAAAAAAACGACTAAATAATTACTTGATAAAATAATAACAAATCTTTATAAGTAAATTTAAATAATTTGAGTAATCTTATATCAAGTAATTATAAGCAATGCATTTTGAATTTATTCATTCATTCATTTTCTTTTTGGCTTAGTCCCTTTATTAATCTGGGGTCGCCAGAGTGGAATGAATCACCATCCAGCATGTGTTTTATGCAGCGGATGCACTTCCAGCTGCAACCCATCACTGGGAAACACCCATACACCCTTATTCACACACATGCACTATGGACAATTTAGCCTACCCAATTCACTTATAGCAATTTACCTATAACTGCACCCAGAGAAAATCCATGCGAACACTGGTAGAACATTCAAACTCCGCACAGAAATGCCAACTGATCCAGCTGTAGATCGAACCAGCAACCTTCTTGCTAAGAGGCGACAGCGCTACCCACTGTGCCACCATGAATTTATTTATATTAATAAAGTTCTTTTTTAGCTGAAGGAACATTGCTTTTGTCAAATCAGTTAAATCTTATTAGTTACAAGCTAGATTTGTTTTTCTGTAATATGTTTTTTTATATATAGTTTTATCAATTTATAATTTGTCCGTTCCCTCCTATTCCAACCAAATCATCACATTTCAGTTAAAATTAACTTAATATTAGGTTTATTTGCAATGATTAGAACATAATTAAATATTGCAAAAAAAATTATAACTTCTTTTTCCATTCAGTGCATTTACTACATCAAGTAAATATGTAAATCTGTAAAATTCTAGTTATCCTTGACATTTAATATTAGATTAAATATTAGATTTTATTATATATTTTTAAAGTGTAGTTCAGAAAAGGTAAATACATTACTTATATCAATAATACTTTGCAGTAACTTACAGGTCGACATGGATGCTGAGGTCTGTTCAACTAAAGAATACAACGGGACATCATACCCTGCCAGAAAAAACAAAACAAAACAACATTTTAAACACTTTTTAATACAATTTAAGCATTTAACATAAATATCACTTACTGTACCTTCTGCAACATATGAATAATATACAGATAACGGGCGGTTGAGCTCTGCTATAAGAGAAAAAAAGAGGCACTTTATAATCATGCATGAAAGTTACATGTTAAAACATTTCACTGCAACACAGCTTCATTAGTCTTTAAACCCAGGTGATTACAAAACTCCTTAATTCTTAATACATTTGCCATTTACATTAATCTTGCAAATATATAAGCACATCTTTACTAAAATAACATTCACTCATTTGAACAAAAGCATCTACAAAATGAAAATATGTAAGATACTATAACTCTCTGTGTATTTGATTGTGGGTTTGGTTTGAATAGCTTTTCTGCTAGAGTCAAGGATATAACAGGAAGGTGCTAAACAAGTATACAAGGTATGAAACTGATTTTCTGATGACAAAAAGTCATAATTTACCATGTTAGTTCCAATAAGCCATTTCTCTGTCTGACAGCTCAATAGTGTTAAACATTTCTGGACTTCAGTGGTGGACTTACTGTGGCTGTTGTTTATGTGCTTTCGTTTTTTGAAATAAACAATGACACAGATGATCAGTGATATGATGGTAAGCAGAGACACCACTGTGGACATCACTACTGCTGTCAGATTGTTTGCTGTTGTGTCAGTGTTGCCCCTGCTATGGCCAGCAGGAATTTTAGGAGTGACTGCATGAAATATATGATTACATTTTATCAGTGCATTTGGTTTGACAATTTCAATCACAGACTGGCACATTCACACATATTCAACCACGTCTTACCTGTGGTAAACAGTGTTGTGGATTTAGCTGTAACAAGACCTGGAACTAAAATGCAAACAATTTTGCATTAAGAACCTTAAAATCAGTAGGATTTAGCATGCTTTTCATAAACTCATCAGCCTGGGAATATTTATGTGTCTTGTTTTAATGACTAAATCTGATACATTTATTATGCGTGTAAAAATCTTGATCTCTTTAAAAGTTTTTGTTTTAGACACCAATACAATTGTTTAACCGATTCTTGTCATATAAAAAGCAAGATTGCCAGTTTATGCATTACTAGTGAGAATTTTTAAAGGGTTAGTTCCCCCCAAAATGAAAAAAAAATCCCCTCATCCTCATGTTGTTCCGAACCCCTGAGAACAATTTGTTCATCTTCAGAACACAAATTTATATATATGTTTATATTTTAATTTAGTGCACTGTGAAAAATGATGGGTTCCACACAATTACTTAATGTTGTCCAAACAAAAACCAATTAAGTTAATTGCATGTTTTTATTTATTTATTTTTTACAAACTTAAGTAGATTGAACATAAAACAATTAAGTTATCCCAAAAAATCTTAAGGATTAATGCCTCATGCACATTAGTAACGACTTTGTAGCTGCCTGTCGCTCTGGGTGGCGATCTGCTGCAAACGCAGTCTGTGTGGGTCTATCGCATGGAGAATACAACCGGCCTCAGCAAGAGCTGAGAGGATCACGTGAGCTCTACTGGTGCTCCTATTGCCTGTAGCTTAAGAAAGTCGATCTTCATTTGCATAAAGTTGAAGGATTCTCAAATTTGTCACATCGTTCAACACGCCGACCCGCTCGCTATTGTTCGCTGTTGCTCGTGTAGACGGAGGTCGCCAGAAGTCGCTCACTTTTCGTTGAAATAAACAGTCACTTGTCGTTGTCGCTTTGCTGCTACAAGTCACTTGTATTGTGAATGAGGCTTAAATTTGATTTGAATGTGTAATAGGACAGTAGTTTGACAGGGAGCAAAGTTGGAGAAATTAAGAGAGGGAAAAAGAGAGAGACGGGATAGAATGGAATCAAATTGGAAAAGGTCTGCGAGACATGAACTCAGGATGACCAAAGCACAGTTGTGCCACATGTCACCATACTACCCACCAGGCTATTATACTGACAAATTAAGATATTTTAAATGAAAATCAAGAGCTCTCTGACACATAGATGACAAGAGTCACAGGACTTTATTCAACAGTTTCCTCTGTTTGGTGTTAATTCCAAATTCATGTACTCAACTTTCCCTGTTTGAAACAAACCGAGCACAGCATATCACTCATGAATGCACAGACTGAGCTGATAATGAAACGAAGAAATTGTTGAATAAAGTCATTTTTATGTTCAAAAAATTATACTAGTAGCTTCGTAACATTACGAATTAACCTCTGAGAACACATGGACTGTTTAAAGGCATTTTGGTACCTTTCTGAACTGCAACTCTTTCTGTAAATTCAAGGGGCCTCAGAGCTCTTGGATTTCATCTAAAATATCTTTAAATGTGTTATGAAGATCTCAGAGGTTTTGTTGGGGTGAGTTTTCATTTTTGAGTGAATTGTTTGTGTCAAGGAATAATAGTGTTGTTAGAAATGTTGTCGTTGAATGATTTTATTTCAGACATCATTAAATAGAGTAACTGAAAAAAATGTCCTACAATTGTACATAATTAAAAAATTCAACTGTTGTGTAAAAACAGTATCACTTTTGTTTTTATGCAGTTGGTTTAATATTATTAATGTTGCTTAATTAGATTGAACAAAATGTGAAATTATTTTAAAACGCACCTTTGATTACCAGCTTCACTTCATAGCAGGTTGTGTCATTCACTCTGCATCGATACCACAGATCATCAGCCTTTACTGAATCTCTAATAACCAGAGAACCATTCTCTAGTTGTTTCGCTCTCTCAAACAGAGGGTTCGAGAGTTTCTCTGTGCTGTTTGAGGTTGTGGATGATGAGCGATATTGTGTTATATCTGTTGACCGGTGACCTTCAATGACTTTCCAAGTGACTTTATCAGTTGTGTTTCGTTGAGGATGTTCAGAGCATGGCAGCAGCACTGCAGAGCCTGATACTGCAGTGACAGACTTCATTTTTGTACAGTCTAAAACCAAAGAAACACAGTACATGTTTATGACTCTATAATAGGGATTATTTGCTTGTTTGAAGAATGTGTATTCTCACCTTTGACTGTCAGGGTAAATCGAGTTGCGTTGAGGCAGTCTTGATCTTTGTAGACCTCACAGTCATAAAGGCCTTCATCTGTTTGTTGGATGTCTTTCAGATTAAGTCTAATATTACCAGCATGTTTACTCACAGACCATTTCTGGTGCTCTGATGCTGGAGAGATCAAGATGTCTTTAACTGGGTTATTCTTGCGTAGTTTCACTGTTAGAGTTTCCAGCAGGTGGGTTGTGGTTAAACAAGAAATGGACATGCTGTCACGCTGAACACGGCTTATGTTCAACTGATGAGGCTGTTCACAGGGTCTTTGAGCTAAGAGTGAAAATAAAACGAGAAATGAAACATCTTTGGAGAACTGGGATGTAGAAAGATAGGAATTACCACATAGTTTACAATAAAGATATCATTTTCTGAAATTATCCTGCTGAATGCAGTGTGTATAAAATATTTAATTTCCTAAATTTACTCGGTAGCACTTCACAATACAGTTCCCAAATCAAACAATGACAAATATATCTAAAGCATTTATTAGGCTTAAAGAAAAATGCCTGTTATTATTAATTAATAAATCTGAGCTGACAATGAGCAATTGTGTTTTTATCGTCAAAGAAGAATAATACTGTAACAACTGTTTTGCTCTTTGCTATTTTGCTACACATACAGTAATTGCAAATGGTCGGGATTAAGGTTTATTACAATCTTATGTCAAGTTGTCGCACAACAACAAACAGTTAAAACAAAGACCATCTTAAGTTACACAATTTCTTCTACAGTAACCTTTTTTAAACTTTCTTTTATATAATTTTAGAACAGAACCAACAAAATCTCACGGCAATTTGTAACTTTTTGATTTAGTGGCTAATTTGTATGAATTCGTATGATCTAAATCGTACAATTTAGTACGATTTGCTCATCCCTCAATGACGGTTGGGTTTAGGGGTGGGGTTAGGTGCCATGCCTCCATTTTAAAATAGTAAGACTGAACTTGTATGAATTAACCACTGAACTGACAAAACGTAAAATACTTATATTTTCTCATGAGATCAGGCTGAACAGAACCTGTACATAAGCACACAAAAAGATCAGCTGAGGTCAACTTCCAAATAAGTTAACATTATGTAACGTGTAAATGGCATTGATGATATTCATGTTACACCCATGGCACATTTACACACCCAAGTGCATAAATAATATTCATTTTGCTTTGTTAAGTAATTTTACTTCATATAAAAGACACTTACCTCCGCATTCCAATAAAGCAGCTATAAAAAGATTTAAAAGTCGGAAATATGAAAGCTGAACACTCCCCATCATCTACAAATGCTCACTGCAGGGTAACAGACCTCTATGTGAGCACAGGCCACATCACTGCACTTTCACAGAGTTGCCGAAATGTAAAGTGAAAGGAGGAAGTAAGATCTTGTGCTCATTCCTCCCCGTCAGTGAGACTGTGTATTTCAGCTGCTAATTTGCACCTTTAAACTAATGCATCTATTTAGAAAGATGCTATAATACGATATAGAAGTTGAAAGTATTAAGACAGGAAACACACCATCACATGGATGTCTTTAAGCAGCTCACTGCAGACAAACTTAATATAAACAGAAGCCACAAAGGTTTTTCCTTCTATTTTTTTTCAGAAGTAGGAAATGGGATTTCTGCAAAATGTCAAGCGACAAGCAGTTTTGCTCACATTTGAAATCATTAAATCAATTAGCTTCATGTTTATATAGGGATAACATGGCCATACAAATCATTTATTACATTAGTTCATCAGAATGTTTTTTTTTTCCCTGAAACCAATAAGTATGTTTAAGACTGTTAGAAGTACTGTATGCATTTTCTTTGGACTACTGCCCCAAATCGATGAAGAACACTTTTCTCTTCATCCAACAATTTCTCTACAGACATTAAAGAATTAAATTCCTGATTGATTCACCGCAAAATTAGTACACTTGTGTTATTAGCAATGATTACTAATGCCAGAAAGAAATGTTCCTTCTAGAACTTTAACAAAAAATAAAAAAATGTAAAATTTGTTTGATTCTTTGTGCTAAAAATTGTAAAATGTCAGTGGTATTATTTTTAATTATAATAGATTACTTAAATTTAACAATTATCATTGCATAAAAGCATTTTTTTACATTAATATGATGTGCAATTTAATAGTCATTTTACAAAACATATCCTACATAACACTAGTAAAGTGAACTAATGATTTTTTGGTAAAGACTACTAATCCATATTTAATTTGTCTTCTATGTCATGAGAGTAAACTCTTTATTCGTTTCACAGATTACTTATTATTAAACAGATCGCATGAACAACGCACTTCCTCTCAAATCTGTCATTCACTTTCCGGGTTAACCCTTTTGGTTTCCCACATCTTCCCTCTTTAGAAAAGAACATCATGTTTTCCACTTTTAACACAAACCCCTAAACATTGGTTTATGTTTAACAGCATACCCAAATTAAAGTGCAACATCAAGCAATGATAGTTTTTTTTTTTTCATAAACTCAAATCTTAATTCCTTTCTATAACCTGAAACAGTCCATTTAAGCCTAGTTCACACTACAGGATTTTAAACATCAGCAGATCGCTGTGCTGTTCACACTACATGACTTGACTTTGTGTCTTTTAATCTCTGTGGTGTTCACACTACGCAACACTCCGTGAACGATCCACAAGAGGGGGGTCACACACTACATGATCTGACAACATCTCATTCCCCATCAGCTCATTCAAGCTACCAAACCACAGCCAATGAAAATTTGAGGGAGGAGTCGTCAGAAAAAAGCTGAACACTATTGGCTGCTTGTGTGCTGATTACATCACTGACAGCTTTTCAAGCTTTGGAGAAAGCATTTAAAAACATCGTCAAATCAGCTGATTTACGAGCGGATTAATCACTCATCTGCAAGGTTTGAGTGGATAGATACACAGAGAGTTTTTAATTTTTGTAATTTTATAACTCTTTGAAAAAAACATATTTATAACACCCTGCCGTTTTCTAACTATCAGTGTATTTCTTTCTGACATTGTTATTTTTTTATTACAAAACAGTAAAGAACTGAGCATTTCTGCCTTAAAATACCATATTGGTCAAAATGACTACATGCATGTCTGATACTTTTCGCTGTGACTTTAAATATGTGTGCATTTTCTTGCCTGGCAACTTCCTGCTAACATAAACAAAACTTTCTGATGGCAAAAACATCAATTTACTTCAGATATCTTTCAAAACAGCATATTCTGTGCTTTGAAATAGCTCCTGTTTGAAAGTGAAAATGAAAGCCAAGACTTTTAAGTGTTTTAGTATCTTAACTACATATTTATAGGCTGTATTACCAAAAAAATATTATATTTTTAGGGTAATGGTGTCATTAAACATGATGCCAGACATTCAAAGCTTAATTTTAATATCTCAATGATAGCTTTGAATGTAAATATGTTGTGACAATATGGCGTTTCATATGAGAATGGTCAGAATGAGCAGTATGGTAATTCTAATAGTTACAGAATTCTAGTTCCACTGTTAATATAGCCTACTCTCATGTCTGTGCTAACGCAGAATGAAGCCAGTGCACCGATGCCCATTCTGACCAATCACAGATGTTTCTGCTGAGCTCCTGAACACACAGGCATTCAGCTCATGCTGATATGCTCTCTCATTGGCTGCAGCTCGTCACTACATCTGACCACACGTGGGGTTGAGTCGGCCGACTGCTCTGGAATATTTAGCATGCTAAATGTTGGATTTCCGTCTGCGAGGTGTCGGCGACGCGTCAGTGAGCCTCGTTGATGCGTTGCTCAGTAGTTCACACATAAAGAGCGTCGAGCACCCGCAGATTTCTTCCCGATCACAGCCCGATCTGTCGGCGAGCTCGTTAACTTCCAAATCGGGCTCAAATCAGGCTTAAAATCCTCTAGTGTAAACTAGGCATTAGTCTAAGTAACGTTTGGGCGTTTTCACCACCCTTCCACTGGAAGTCGTAACTGGTGGTTTAGTGTCCAGTAAAGGTGTTGCTGGGTCAACTGTGTGAGTATTTGAATGTTCAGTCCCAGACAGAGCTGGTTCTTTTTCTTCCTACAATTCTGCTTGGATTGTAGCATCTGGTTGCGATGGCATTGCTTGCAAATGCTTCCTGTTTCTACGCAGGACAGCTCCTTTTTAAGTTTGCACCAAGTACGATCTTGGTTCTGATGTTTTGTTTAGCACAACCGCTGGTGTTTTCCAGTGCTTTTCACTGTCCAGCTTAAGAAGAACCTTCTCACCAGGATGTAACTCGGGTAGTGTGCGAGCAGAGTGTCTCCGGTCATAATAGAACTTGTAAGACTCCTTTGCAGCTTTATCTTTCTTCTCCACTGCTTTAAGTGGATGTTAAAGTTGAGAAGCACTTTAACATCGAGACCAGCAGCCTGTAAGTACATTTAAGACTTGTTTCAGTTGTTGTGTATGGTTTGAGGACTTGTTTTCAGCTGTTTGTGTAAAGTTGTAGGACATTTAAACTTGCTTTCAGTTGTGTATCATACTAGAAGTGTTTAGCCACTGTTTCCTTGGTTACTATAAGAGCTTGTGTAGCGAACGCGGACGGTTTCGCGTCGTCCGCCTCAGTTTCGGCCCTTGTTTTGACTCGGGAGGCGTGTCCAAACGCCAGTTAACCACTATATAGTGAGCACGCTAGCTTAGTCGGCAGGAGAAGCACTTTAACATCGAGACCAGCAGCCTGTAAGTACATTTAAGACTTGTTTCAGTTGTTGTGTATGGTTTGAGGACTTGTTTTCAGCTGTTTGTGTAAAGTTGTAGGACATTTAAACTTGCTTTCAGTTGTGTATCATACTAGAAGTGTTTAGCCACTGTTTCCTTGGTTACTATAAGAGCTTGTGTAGCGAACGCGGACGGTTTCGCGTCGTCCGCCTCAGTTTCGGCCCTTGTTTTGACTCGGGAGGCGTGTCCAAACGCCAGTTAACCACTATATAGTGAGCACGCTAGCTTAGTCGGCAGGAGAAGCACTTTAACATCGAGACCAGCAGCCTGTAAGTACATTTAAGACTTGTTTCAGTTGTTGTGTATGGTTTGAGGACTTGTTTTCAGCTGTTTGTGTAAAGTTGTAGGACATTTAAACTTGCTTTCAGTTGTGTATCATACTAGAAGTGTTTAGCCACTGTTTCCTTGGTTACTATAAGAGCTTGTGTAGCGAACGCGGACGGTTTCGCGTCGTCCGCCTCAGTTTCGGCCCTTGTTTTGACTCGGGAGGCGTGTCCAAACGCCAGTTAACCACTATATAGTGAGCACGCTAGCTTAGTCGGCAGGAGAAGCACTTTAACATCGAGACCAGCAGCCTGTAAGTACATTTAAGACTTGTTTCAGTTGTTGTGTATGGTTTGAGGACTTGTTTTCAGCTGTTTGTGTAAAGTTGTAGGACATTTAAACTTGCTTTCAGTTGTGTATCATACTAGAAGTGTTTAGCCACTGTTTCCTTGGTTACTATAAGAGCTTGTGTAGCGAACGCGGACGGTTTCGCGTCGTCCGCCTCAGTTTCGGCCCTTGTTTTGACTCGGGAGGCGTGTCCAGCTGAATTCAATCAGCTAGTGCTTTGGGGTTATATAAACAACTAGTTCACCGCGGCAGCGGTCGCGGCAGCCTCGTGTGAAGACCGCCTTGTGTAAAGACCGACGAGTGTAAAGACCATCGACTCTACCTGCGCGACTCCACCGAGCAAAGACACCGACAAAGCACTTGAGTACTTTACTTTCTTTTTTTTTTACTTTATCTTTTGTTGTCAGTGCACTTTTATTATGTGTTTTCTAATTCCTGTTGTTACTAACACTCGCAAAACACGGGAGGTACGCTGCAGGCGTAATCCTCACAACCTTCGTTCATACATGTATCTGCTATTTCACAACTCTCTCTCTCCGTGGGCCTCTGGAATTGTCAATCAGCTGTTAACAAGGCAGATTTTATTACCTCCATAGCTACATATTCTGACTATAATCTCATGGCTCTAACTGAGACCTGGTTGAGGCCGGAGGACACTGCTACACATGCTACTCTTTCTGCTAATTTCTCTTTTTTCCCACACTCCTCGTCACACAGGAAGAGGGGGTGGGACTGGACTACTAATTTCCAAAGAATGGAAATTTACTCTGATAACGTCCCTGCCTACAATCAGCTCCTTTGAATTCCATGCAGTCACCATTATCCACCCCTTCTACATAAATGTGGTTGTCATCTACCGCCCACCAGGTAAATTAGGTCACTTCTTAGATGAACTGGATGTTCTTCTCTCATCTTTTTCTAATATTGACACTCCCTTGTTGGTGCTAGGTGACTTCAACATTTACGTTGACAAACCGCAAGCTGCAGACTTTCAGACTCTGCTTGCCTCTT